GCAACCGGCTCCAAGACTGGAACGGCTGTTATGACGTCCTTGATCATCGTTATGACCCTATCCGCTATTGTTGGTGTCATCGCCGCCTCCTCTCGTATGTTCTGGGCCTTTGCTCGAGACCGTGGCGTGCCTTTCTGGTCTACTATCTCCAAGGTAAGTTCCATGTACCTCATTTGAAATACCCAAGACTCATCAATATTAGGTTGATCCTCGAACCAACGTTCCTGTCTGGGCCATCACCGTCACCAGTGTCATCTCGTGCCTCATCGGTCTCATCAACATCGGTTCCACGGTCGTTTACAACGCCATCATCTCCGTCGCCGTCTCTGGCCTATACTCTTCCTACCTCATGTCGGCATCTCTCCTGCTCTACCGTCGATGCGGCACGGGCTACAAGATGCCTGACCCCAGTGCACTCCCCGCTTTGGCCGACACCACTGCTGGCGAGGGCCAGACTCTGGCCTGGGGTCCATGGCACGTCCCAGGTATTTTCGGCATTATCAACAACACGTTTGCATGCCTTTTCATGATCATCATCTGGTTCTTCAGCTTCTGGCCCCCTCAGACTCCTGTCGACGCCGCCTCCATGAACTATTCGTCTCTGATGACAGGTGGAGTTACCCTTCTTAGCATTGTGTACTACTTGGTCTGGGCCAAGAGGGAGTACAAGGGACCTCAGATGGAGGTTTAGGTCGAAGCATTTCCAACTATAGCATAGCATTGTGTAGTTAGCAGCATCTTAGCGGTCAATAGAATGTCTTTACCGGCTCACGTACGCCATGTATGCGCAATCAATCGCCAAGTCGGCGAGTGAAAAACCTTTTCCTATCTGAAACGAGGCGACATATTGCCATTCTCCAAAGTTTCGACCTGGGGAAGAGGAATGCTCTAACACTTAACCCACACCAGCTAGGTCTTGATTCATGGCCCGAATACTCTCAAGATGGCAGGCGAGACGCATTGCAGGCCCTTTATTAAAACGGGGCTGTGTTTATGTTCCCAGAACAAAATTCTCTGGCCTCGTACGACGTTCATGGGCTCTTCTGATGGGCATTCTTTGTTGTTTCTTTGTCCTATGTCGATGTGAAGAAAGACATATACGATGAGAAGCGCTAACCTGGGCTGTTCGATAGCAGGCTACGTGCCATCAAAGCAGGAAAACAAAGGCAGACATGGAGTCATTCTAAACAACAAGACAAAGTAAAAAGGGTTTTGACTTCGCGCCAAGTGTATCAATATAAAACGATGTATCCTTCCATGTCCAAATAATATCTTCACACCGGCGAACTCAGCATTTTCTTAAGCACTGGCTCAAAAGCACCACATCCTGCGACAACAGATCAACCTGAGGTTTTCCCCCGCGATCAACAATGCCTTGCCAAATCCGCTGTTCGACCCTCCAGAGTCCAGAGGAGGTTGTAGCAAAACTTGTCGGGGCTTTTTTCTGGATCACTTTGTTGGCTGCCTACTGTGCCATACTGCTAGTTCGCTGCCTAGATGGCTTTCAAAGCTTGGTAAAGGCCTCCACCACCCCAGTGAACAAGGAAAATAGTCATCGAGATGCCGAAAAACGCCATGGATGATTATCTGCCCTGGGAAATGTCGCTGGCTCTCGCCTCAATTGTGGTTGACCGCAGCCTTAGCGATGTATCTCATTTATGTTGCGACAGCTCGGAGAGAAGCCGTTGATAGAAGAGGAATTGCGACTTGCCGCAATGTTCCTTGTCGTATCAATATGGTCTAAACAGCCCGCTCGTTGAACGAGAAACATGTATCCACACCACCCATTTCTTTTGTCATACCAGGCTCGATGGTGGAGGGACTCTTTAATGAGACCTTAACCCCTGAGCTATGGAAACCGTCAAAACGTGATCCTATCCTAGAATGAGAAATAAAATCACTGACTGAATCACCCATCCGTTTCTGAAGTCTATATACAAGTGTGTAACCAAACGAGTTTGTTGAATGTCTGTCTACTAACGCGAGGCATCATTATACCATAATTGCTAATGAATAGTTCGTACTTTATCTACATTCATTTTAAAGGGCCACGCTTTAACACACTAAGAGGCTTGTATTTTCGTAGTCATCCTGACATCCAAGAGACCGGAAAGGGTTGTTCGTGCTGATATCATGATAGCAAATCTACAACCGCAGCATTATCATATTCCTGTATCAAGTGTTAATGCCCGGTATCTAGCAGGTCAGGTCAGCCTTCATCCCCGATACCGAGCTCTTTACTTCAGCCAAGTTGTTATCATCCAGAAAAGCCACCAGTCGCGGAGTACTCTCAAATATAGCTTAGAATTATGTAGTTAGTAGCAGAGGATCTTAGTGCTCCAAAGCAAATGATAAACTTCTCATAAAGCCTCGGCCCATTTGAACAAGAGTGAAGCATCAGGTGTGACATCGGATGTGACGATGGTTGCTCCAAGTATACTTTGTGATGTTGAGCACACGCTGATGGAATCTAATTAGTGGTATGTTTGACCAACTCCAAGGGGCTGGCCTGATCTCAACCCGTGATAGATAGGAGTCGTCTCCTGCAAGGGGCGAGGCGCTTCAGAGGCCTGCCGCCAAGAGTGAACGATGAATGTCATCCAAGACAAGTCAATGCAGCTGTCCCCAAAATGAAATACATGGGAGAGGAACAAGTTCGTGTACGGGGACAAACTGAATGCTGAGGTATCCGAACGTGTGTCTTCGTTATCCCACTGGCGGATCAGTCAAGTAAGTCCCACCCGAGTACCTATGTTGCACAAGATTTCTTGTGGTAATGTTACTTTGTGTCTCTGAGTTGTGCTAATTTTAATAAAGAAAAGTAGGGGTTGGCACAACAAGTTGTATTGTTCCTAAACTAGTTTATTTCTGTAATCCTTTGTGTTCACAATGGGAGATGACGGAGCAAGGACAAAACGTGACAGCCCAAAATAGAACAAACCAACATACAAATGCATTTTTCGTCCATTCTCATGGTCTATAAAAAAGCCGTAGCCAGGCATTACCACAACCTTACCCAACAGTTCTCTCTTCACATCCACACTGACTCAACAATCCCAAGGCCCCTACTGACAGTTTGACCCCAGTTTGATCCGACACAATCGCAGGAAAGATTGAAATGAGGACATTCGGAGACGCGTACTACCGGATCTACGGGCGACAACCCGATTTTGGAGTTGTAGTCATCATCTGCTTCGTTATCCTGTCGATCGCCTCCGCTGTTGCGCAACTGATCATCTCTGTTGGGAGAAATCTGGATTTCTTTGCTCGTGTGTTCGTTCTTTCAGTGGCCGTTACCTATGTTCTTCTTCATGAGCTCCCTACAGAAGGAACGCTGATCGGAGAATGGCTGTGGTATGCATGCGACTCCCTGAAGTCCCTACAGTGGGGACAGTGATCGAGGAATGGCTGCTTGCTGTGGAGGTGTCCCCTGAAGGAAAGCAATTGTTCTGAAGCCGGTCGTTTGACTAGCAACACGGCCCAACGCCGCCTTTTTCTTTTTGTGACGACACAAGATTCGACCACATGTGGTTTCTTTTTCCGCCAATAGCTACCTCAGTGAGCTGTAAAGACAAGAAAATTGCCGGTATAGAATAAGCAATAAAACCACACATTTCACGATAGACTTTATTGCTAAGTACTAGCACTAGTGATGGCCGAGTGACGGAGCTTGATACATTAGATATACGTGTTCTGCTATCTATAAAGATTTAGCCGACTTATATATTGCTGGATGCCACTCTGTAGTTGTTACGACATGCGTTCTGATGATCCAAATGGTAGAGTAGCTGGTGGGTTAAGGTCTCAGGAGTGTTGAGACCAACCAGCATTCAAATTCGCGAGACAGGACGCCATGAGGCCTACGAAGGCTACATCGTTACATATGAGTGCAACTTATGAACAAAGGAGCTCGGTCGATAATTATATACCCTCCTACTTCAATGACTTCCCTCGTCGTCATGACCGATGACTTGTGACAACATCATCGAGAGTAACTAGGTGAGGCTTAGTCTAGAAAGACTTTACAAGCTTCTTTTAGCGGCCACGATTCTGTTTTACCGGGAGAATATGGACGCCAGGCATCGCCGCTTTTATGGAGGGCAGCTCAGGCTTCCTAAAGCAGACGGGGTAGCTTTGCTTGAATGAGCGCTGATTGCTGGACGAGTCGGGGCTCTCTATTGCATGTGGGAAACAAGAGGGACGTATATCGTATAGCTCTAACATAACAAAGAGCCCTCACCTCACCTGTGTGGGCAGCGTGTGTGCGAATCAGCGGCAAGGGAAAAGGGATTTACGGTGCGTTGGAAATCCAACTAATGTCTGTCTAGGTGACGCGGTTGAAATCTGAGGGGGAGGTCGGACTCCGGGGCCGCGAGTATCCGTGTCGGTCCCTGTCGATCCGCCCCGGCCCGTGAGACTTGATTGGCATGACCCCAGGGTGCAACGCCTCGCTATGATGATGTCACGGAGCCATCCCATCTGTCTACTGTAAGCCTTAAGAGTCCGGGCCATGATATAAGAACCATAACAACCCGTCTAAGATTATATCTGTATTTCATATCTCTATGGTTGTTCCTGGACCCGAAGCCCTTCAGGTTAATCGTCTATGGTCGAAGGGAGGTGGTCACGACTGGGCTCGAAACCTTCAAAACCATGTCCCCATCTCAACAAACTCCCCATTTCTCACTTACTCCACCATCTACAAGATTCGTAAAGCTTGCCCTTGAATTGGCTCATGTCTTCCCCGCCTTCCCCAGATCGCCGGCGCGGGGCGGGGCCGTGTTGCCGGTAATGTCCGGGTAAGGCCGGCCCGCTTTAGGAGGCCACTTGGATAGCTTCCAATCATGAAAGGTCAGCAATTGCTACGAGTAATGGAGGTTTGAGGGTCTTTGCCGATATCGGGATAGATTTATGTTCTGTGTACTCCAAATCACACCATAAAAGAGTTCACCTTTGGATACATAGCGTAGTTTGCTCAAGAATTGTATCCTATTGTCACTATGCCCTTAATCGACGATCAGAGACCCTTCCAGGTTGCCCTATTACCAGGTGACGGGCAAGGGCCTTATCTAGCTTCTTATGTGGAGCGCACTCTTGACTTGATCCAACGAGTCCGTCGAAACGTCTCCTTCAAGGTCTCCAGGCATGACTTTGGGGGTGTAGCCCTAGCTGCAGGTGCCGGAACTGCCCTCCCCTCAACAACACTTGGCGCTTGCCGACAGTCTGATGCTGTCCTTGTCTGTGGCTGTGGAGATCCACGTTATGGAATTGAGCCAGAGCGAGGCTTGTTAACCCTGCGACAAGAACTCGAAGGCTGTGTCAACATTAGACCAGTCAGATTCCCTTCATCGCAGTTAGTACAGCAAAGCTCCTACAAGCCCGAAGTAGTCGAGCAGCTGGATATCACATTCTTCCGAGATCTCACCAGCGGTGTCTATTATGGACGTCGGAAAGAGGCTGGAGATGATGGAGAAGCATACGACACTACCCCATACTCTCGACAAACAATTGAACGAATTGCACGGTTAGCAGGTACTTATGCCATGCAGTTCAGCCCACCCAAGCCGGTTCACTCTATTGATAAGCATAATGTCATGGCGACATCACGGTTATGGCGATCCGTCGTGGCCCATGTCTTCGAAAACGAATTCCCCCAAGTCCCATTACGCCATGTCTTGGTGGATACAGCGTCCATGATACTCTCTTCCGATCCGCTCAGCTTGAACGGCATCATTCTCACCGAGAACATGTTTGGAGATATTCTATCTGACCAAGCCGGTGGAATTTTGGGATCTCCGGATGTCCTAGCGTCTGCTGCCGTATCTGCTATCCGACGAGGCGGCTCCCGCGGAACGCCTGGAATCTTTGAACCCTTCAACCTCAACCCCGGGGGGAAAACAGTGGGCCCTCTCGGTAGCATACAGGCAGTGGGTCTGATGCTGGAACTATCCCTAGGCCTGGCTGCCGAGAGTGAGGCCCTGTCCAAGGCAATTCGTCGGACCTTGGACCCCATTGAACTGGTCGGATCGGATACCAGAACAGTGGACCTTGGCGGCTCAGCAACAGCGGACAGCTTCATGGATACTCTGTTACACAATCTGGATTACTACCTCGAAGCACTCAACTCTGCCGAAGCTGCAGTTGTGCAGACTATTCCTTCACTACCTGTTACGCCTGAGTCCTTTAAAATACTTTCAGAACGGCGTCCGATGAGTCTCATTGAGAAGATCCTCACTCATGCTGGCGTCGGCCTCACGAAATCTCATGTTGAGACAGGAGAGATGATTTGTGTCAAAGTTGACTGGACAATTACATCGGAACTACTCTGGGCTGGCATGGAAAAGACATACGACAAAATGGGAAGGCCACGTCCCTATCGAAATGACCGACTGTGGCTCGCTGTTGACCATACTGTTGACCCTCGCACAAACCATCAGCCTAGGCAAAGGGGTCTCATGGCAAAGGCTGAGCGGTTTCGCCGGGAAGCCAAAATTATCGACTACTTGCCGGCGAACACGAGCATCATGCACACAGATTTCACACGCGAGCGAGCACAACCCGGACGCATCGTCGTCGGAAGTGACTCGCACACTTGCTCAGCTGGAAGTATGGGATCTTTTGCCGTTGGATTTGGCGCGGCTGATGTTGTCATGCCCATGGTTACTGGAGAGACCTGGTTCCGAGTCCCAGAGGTTTGTAGGATCAACTTTGTTGGCAAACTACCCTTTGGCGTTGGCGGCAAGGACGTTATACTTCATATCCTCGGTCTCTTCAAGCGGAACACCATTGCATTCCAGCGTGCCGTGGAGTATGGTGGCCCGGGACTGCAGGGGCTCTCGATGGATGCAAGGTTTGCGATTGCAAACATGACAACTGAGGTTGGTGGCATGGGTGCTTGCTTTGAAGCGGACGAGGAGACCTCGGCATGGATTGCACGACGACAGCAACCAGAGCATCGAGAGGGCGGCCTTTATTTCCGAGCGGACCCTGACGCGCGGTACGTTGAGGAGAGAACCGTTGATCTCTCTGAGGTCAATGTCACTATGGCACTATACCCAAACCCAGATGACGTTGTTCTTGCCTCAGAAAAGGCTGGGATGAAGCTAGATGGATGCTTCATTGGAGCCTGCACCACCACCGAGGAAGACTTGATCATCGGTGCTCTGATTCTTGAGGCTGGCCTCCGAGCGGGCATACGACCTGTTACTCATGGGAAGCGCAGAGTCACGCCTGGTAGCCTCATCATCATCAAGCGTCTTGAGCGACATGGGCTCTTGGAGATCTACAAGCAGGCCGGGTTTGAGATTGGTGCCCCTGGATGCTCTTACTGCGTGGGAATCAACGATGTTGACGTTGCTGGTGAAGGCGAAGTTTGGCTCTCTTCACAAAACCGCAACTTTCGAAATCGAATGGGCAAAGGCAGCCTGGGTAACATTACTTGTGCGGCTGCTGTCGCCGCGTCCAGCTTCGACATGGTGGTGAGAGACCCCAAATACTTGCTGGACCGACTGGACAGAGAAAAGCTGGAGAGAATAGTGAAGGGCTCCAGGAGTAGCACGGACATCTCAGTGGTTATCAGTGAACCTGAGCCGCAGATTTCGTCTAACAAGACACCAAGTCTTCTCAACGACAATGAGCTAAATGAGCCTGCTTCTTCGACGCAGTCAATTTCGCGAGTCGTGCGGTCCAAGGTCCAACGGTTTGGAGAAAACGTGGACACGTAAGTAAACTCTCATCCAACTCTCACCCGAGCTCAGGCTAAGGCGTAATTGCTATAGTGATGCTATTATTCCTGCAGAGTTCATGCCTGGTATCGACAACGCAGACCTGGGCAGCCATTGCTTCCAGTACTTCCGCCCAAGTTTCCGAGACAAGGCCAAGCAAGGATCGCGCATCATGTAAGTCTCCGCCATAAGTTCTACATGAGTAGATATTTATCCCTTGTAGTGTGGCAGACCATGGTTTCGGCAGTGGGTCATCTCGCGAAGACGCCGTGAGAGCCTTGCAAGGTGCTGGAGTGGAAGCGGTTATTGCGAAGGGATTCGCTTTCATCTGTAAGTTTTAGGCTTGGAAATTCACGACGACCATACTAACTCGCGCAGATGAGCGAAACCAGCTCAACATGGGCCTGTTTAACATAAAACTGCAAGATCCAGAGTTCTACGAAATCGCAAAAGAAGACACGGTGATTACGATCGACAAAGACAACAAAACAATCTACATTGAAGGATATAAGAATGTGTTTTCTTATCAGCAATCAGACATCGAGGAGACCCTGCTAGACGCAGGAGGTGTGCTGCCTTTATACAGTCAGTTTGGAGGCAAGGTTTTTCGGCATATCACCATGCCAAGGGTGAAGGGCGGAAGAAAGAGGAAGGAACTTAGCAGTGGATTTACGACGGAGACGTTGAAGTGTTCACAGCCTTCGACTTTTGAGTGGTAGCAATGCCGATCGAAATGCAGGCACAACAAAGGAAATGTCTTCTACGGCAGGGTTGTTTCGAGAGGTAGCTTCATTGTGAATTTTTAAGTGATGATACGTAAGAAATGCAACCCAAAGTCTGTGGTCTTTCAATGACGTATGCATTCTTTGAACGGTCGTCCCTTGGGTCTGAATAACCCATTCAAGAGAGCAAGTGCCTTTGTACCGTGTTCATGGTCTGGCCCGGAGTAGGATGTGCGAAAGAGTGGGTCAATGAATGTTCGAGAGATGAACCATGAGATTATGGTTATAATCTCGGATGTAGGATAATACAGAGCTTGAACTCGACGCCTAGGCCCTGGTTGTGAAGCTTCATCTCCGGCTGATGCTTCTGTGCTCAGTGAGACGAATTCCTGCAAAGCCATGAGCCTTCCTGTAACTCTTTTGAGACACTTTGCAAGGATGCAACCAGGACAAGAAGCTTGGACTTGATTTGTTTCGGCTTTTTTCTCCGGGAGCCGGGTGATGGATTTTGGATTGTTTCATCCCCAATACTCTCCCGCAAGGTTCTTAACTCTTTCCAACTTTGTGATGTAGTCTCTTCATTATGTTTTGTAATACATAGACAACATGAGATGGTGCCATTGCGGTGGTACCGTCCTCGGAAGGCGAGGCCAGGTCAGGAGGTAGGTACCTAGCACGAGAATCTCAACATCTCAATAGAGCCGATACCGAAAATGGGGGGTTAGGGGCGGATGTCCAAGGCTTTTCCACAGCATTAGCATGTCAACAAACATGCAATGTCACGGTGTTCTACCGCTTGCTAGACAGAGAGTCCCGGCTGGGATCTTTCACCTTCTTCATAGGGCAAACTCCCTGTCAATCATGTCCTTATGGACCGACTACTCCCGAGTCATGATATAGACGTAAAATGCCTCAAAAGGAGATCAGTTGACGGGTTTTCAAGACAGTTCCATGCTCCAAAACAAAGCGAGGCTGGGTGGGCCATGTATATCACGGCCGGAGCTATCTCCGTGCTCCACTCTAGCGTGACCGGCGTCAAATGCCGAGAAACCGATCCCGGGATATTCACGTCATTTTATGCCATGGAAGAAATGGAAGCCCAGAGATCTGTCCTATCATTGGCCTTGGATTTAACACTTCGGTCTTTGCAACTCCGCGAGCTGCCCGGGCCTTGCAAGGTAACGTGGCACGCCGTTGGTTGTTGTGCAAGGGGCACGCTGACGGCACATCTTGACGGCAGAGAAGGTTCTATGCATTCTAGAAGTGCCAAGTCGGTGACTTCGGCAAGAATTTTGGATGTGCGCTTCTAGTCTACTCAAGTGGTCATCACATTTCAACACAAACTCTATTGCGGTCTGGCTGCAGGGAAACTCAGGGGCAACAGCTCAACCACATGCCTCGCGCCCCAACGTCCGGATCGGCCTTCACTGACTAAAATACCTCCCTGCAACGGGAAACTCATTCGATCAATAATTCAATGGGTCCTACCGGGAAGATCGCAGTCCCGGGGATCGTTATCCCCGTTCCCCTGGCCCAGTTCGGGTCCGCACATCACACTCCCGCAGGCTCCGCCGCTCTAAACAACTCATGCACGCCTCAACCTTGTTCCACCTCAACAACGTGGGGCGACGGAACCTTCATGACGGCGTTTCCATGGGGTCTTGGTACACTTACGAGCTTCATTGACTAATGGAAAATACGGTCTTTTAAAGGAGTGGCTTTCCCCTTAGTCACCAGATCTTTCTTCCCCAGATTCTCTTGCCTCCACATACTCATTGTGCCCCATTCTGCTCCATTTTCCCCAGATTCCCCAGACTTTTTACCTTGCTCGTTTGAACATTCAACATGAAATTTGACAAGAATAAGAGTCCTCAAGACCTCGAGCTGTCTGGGGTGGTTCAGAGAAGTCCTTCTCAGGGTTCCGAAGATGGCCAATCATCACCACACATTGAGGACCCTGTCTTTGGTGAGGTTTCAGAGGGCGGGCCCAACTACCGAAATGTCAGTCAGTTATGAGAGAATATCACAATGGAAGACACTAAATATTGGGCTCACACAGGTCGGATGGATCGCGACTGTTGCCTTGATGACCAAGACTCAGATCGGTCTCGGAGTTCTCTCAATACCCAAAACCTTTGATGCTCTCGGTCTTATCCCAGGTGTCATCTGCCTCATCACCGTCGCAATTACCACCACCTGGTCCGATTACATGATTGGCGTTTTTAAACGTCGTCATCCCGGAGTCTACGGCCTCGATGATGCCGGTCAACTCATGTTTGGGCGCCCAGGTCGCGAATTTCTCGCCGTCGTCTTTATTCTATGTGAGCAACAAGTCTCAAGAGATAGGATCAGCAAGTCCTCGGCCCCTACTAATGCTCTTCAGATTGGATCTTCGTCGCTGGCTCTGCAATGCTAGGCATCTCGATTGGCTTAAACTCGGTGTCAACTCACGCAGCTTGTACTGCTGTTTTTGTCGCTGTTGCTGCAGTGGTCGGCTTCCTCTTTGCCAGTATTCGTACCCTGGGGCGGATCGGTTGGATTGCGTGGATTGGCTTGGTCTGCATTATGACGGCTAGTAAGTTGATGTCCTTCTGACAGACCCGTTGCAACTGACCGGTCTTTCTAGTCTTCTGTGTGACCGTTGCCGTCGGTCTTCAAGATCGTCCTGCCGATGCCCCTTCCCCCAGCGAAGGCCATTGGGAGTCAAACTATAGACTCACCAATGCCCCAACATTTGTAGATGGCATCTCGGCCATTTCCTCTCACGTCTTCGCATTTTCAGGGACGCCAGCCTTCTTCCAAATTGCAGCCGAAATGCGCGAGCCTCGCCACTATACCCGTTCACTCCTGACTTGTCAATCTATCGTAACTATTACCTATATTACCATTGGTATCGTGGTATACTATTATTGCGGCTCTTACGTCGCATCGCCTGCACTAGGCTCGGCCGGAGATCTAATGAAGAAGGTCTGCTATGGATTTGCCCTGCCAGGGTTGATTGTTACCGCTATGCTTATGATACATGTGAGTTGCAATGGGCTTTCCCAATTCCAGCTGCTGATCGTTCTTGTGCATAGATCCCGGCCAAGTATCTCTTTATCCGACTCCTTCGTGGCACAAAGCACCTCAATTCCAACAGTGCGGTGCATTGGGGCACATGGTTGGCTTGTACTGGAGGCGTCACCATTATCGCGTACATCATCGCGAGCAGCATCCCGGTGTTTAACGGCCTTGTGTCACTGATTGGTGCTTTGCTTGGTACTTTTATGTGTTTGCAGCCGTACGGCTGTATGTGGCTTTACGATAATTGGACTGCAGGCAAGAAGACCAAATCTCTTAAATGGTGCCTGATGGTCGCTTGGAGCGTCTTTATTATCGTCGCGGGCACCTTCATGGTAGTTGCCGGCACTTACGGATCGGTGGTTGGTATCATGAATAGCTTGAAAGAAGCTGGGGCGACAGGACCTTGGACTTGTGCAGACAACTCCAACACGGCCGGTGGCCATTGATTGCAGGACGATGGTCACCGGGAGGAGGAAACGTACATAGTTGGTAGCCTAGGAAATAGCGAGCATCTCTAGAAGAAAATGAGTATTAACTCCTCATCCTCAAATGGTCTATATATGTTCTAGAACGTGTTGAAGACAACGAGGACCATTGCGGCTTACTCCTGAGAGCGACAGGGAGCGTTTGACGTAAATGACTTGTCTTCTTTCACTTCTCACGACATGCAGATGCAACGCAACCATCGAAGCTCGGGAATCAGATAAAGTCCGCAATGAAGCATCAGCCAACAGCGAGTATCAGCTAAGCGGCAACCACCAGGGTCGAAATGTTATAACTGGCCAGAGAGACTACCATGAAGCTATTTGGAATGCGACCGATTTCTTTTGGAAACGGCAGGTCAGCCCTAGTTAAGCCATTCAACCATCTGCTTCCGGATGAGAAGGGACTTTGTCCTGCCAAGCGGCAATTCCTGTAACTTGACGAATGAGAATGTAAGCGGAAAGCAGGAGCAGGACTCAAACGCCGTCGGTGGTCACGCTGGTCCAACGGCATTCAGCCCTACCCGCGCAGAACCTGTTGTCAAGTTGAACCTGGTTGCTGATTGGTGTTGTCGGACTTCTCAACCAGGGTTTCCTGGCCGCTTACGAATCTGCTATTCCGTTTAAGGCTTTATCTCCGCGCTGATTTGCATCTCGCTTGCCAGGTTAGGAGTAGTGCTGACTGCGTTGACTGTGAGTCGACGAGCTGATGCTCGGCTAAAACGAAGGTCGTGTTGGCCAACGCATACGACCTACTCCGCAGTAGACATATATCATGAGATGAAGTCTGTAGAGACAGGATAATCAATTCAACAGACTCCAAACATTCGGAAAATGGCAGACAAGCAGCAACCCTCTTTGACCAGCCTGGCTGAGTCCATTTCTCAAGCCGCGAATGCCCTCGCGGCAACGCTTGAGAAAGGCGGACATGCTGCTCCTTCCTTTGCCTTGGATAGCCTTGCAGAGTATCCAAAGTCTCCAGAAGTCATGGGTCTTCGTATGGTGTTGCTTGATGCTATCAACGATATTCACCGTCTCACGCTGGGCCCAACTGACGTATCTTTCATGACTCCTCTCTTCGTTCGTCTACCCATCAGTTTTGAAATGCCACGACTAACCTAAGTAGATGAACTACGATTCAGCCACCATGGACATCCTCAACGAGTTTGACTTTTGGAACGCTGTGCCATTGGACGGATCGGCAACACGTGCAGAGATTGCTGCCAAGGTCGGTCTTCCAGAGAGCCTTGTTCGTCGTGTTCTCAAGTACGCCATCTCTATCCGGTTCTTCGCCGTGGACCCCAACGCACCAGACAAGATCGTGCATACATCTCTCTCTGCTCTCCCCGTCAAGAATCCCCTGATGAAGTCTTGGCTTCGACACAACTTCCACGAGGCCAGACCTGGTACTGTCCATATGCCTGAAGCATTCCGGAAGTACGGCTCTGGAAAGGAAACCTGGAGCGAGGAGCCTTTGGAGAGTAGCTTCGCCGTTGCCAACGTTGACAGGTTGGACAAGCCTGAGTCGTTCTGGGATTACGTGAATCGCGATGTCGAGGGCAAGCCCAAGGGATGGCGTGCTACCAAGTTTGCTGAGAGTATGCAAGCTGCTGCCTCTGCATCATCCATCAAGATTGAGGACCTCTTGAGTACTGGCTATGACTGGGCCCAGCTCGGCGAAGCTACTGTTGTTGATGTAAGTCCTTCACTTCATAACTGGCCCTCATCGACTTTACTGACAGGCCTCAGATTGGTGGTTCCAGCGGCCATGATGCCAGCCATCTGGCCAAGACTTTTCCCAACTTGAAGTTTGTCATACAAGACCTTCCTGAAGTCAAGGCTGCTTTCGACGAGCGACTACCTGAGGAGCTCAAGTCCCGTGTCACCTTTGAAGCGCGTGACTTCTTCACTCCTCAAAACACCAAGGGTCAAGTGTACATGCTCAAAACGATCCTCCACGACTGGCCCGACAAGTACGCTGCCAAGGTCCTCACACCCCTTGTCCCGCATCTAGAGTCTGGATCCAGCGTTGTCCTAGTCGAGGTCGTCGCCCCACCAGACACTGGCGCTCTTCCCTTCATGACTCTTGGCCGCATGATGAATGCGGCTGACCTTCAGATGTTGAATGCATTCAACTCGTTGGAGCGTAGTCTGGAGGATTGGAAGGGTCTGCTGGCCAAGGTTGACAAGAGGCTGGAGATAACTTCTGTTTCTAATGTGCCTGGGGCCCTGCACCAGTTTATTGAGATCAAGCTTCAGAATTAGCGACAGAATGAGTTTGAGCGCCAGGAGATCATCGTTGAGAAAGCTCTACTTCGGGAGCATAAGTAATTCACTCTATAATCATATATTTCGTTCCTCACATTTGAGTGGATTGTGTTGTATTTCTCTCTAGTTGCCCCATTACCAACTTCCTGTTGAATAACTTTGGCAAATTTATTTAATCCAATACCCAATCGCGTTCTGTGAGATTCTTGCTCATCTTCATCAGCATAACCATTGAATCCCTGTAATTATTTATTTGACTTAGGGTCTTTGTTTAATCCTTAGTCTTAGGTGTTTACCGGAAGCATAGTGGACAAATCTAGTATCGACCAAGAATGCCCTGGGCTTTGTATGCTGGGTTCCTCTCATGTCGTCTTGACTTGGTGGCCTCAGTGAGCCAGCTACACCTCCTATTCCTATGTTCTTACTCCAATAGGAATAGGTTCATGGTTTCTACTTCAAACGCAGCGTCTTGATTTGAAGAAATGGCCGCTGACTAGCGTGAGGCTCAAGGCTTAACTAATGCGACGATGACGCACACATACGATCAGAGCGGAAAATAAAAGGCGCCGGCGATCCGCAGTCTTTCTGTCAAACCGCCCGTGAGAAGTTATAAAACTTCACTACTCGGCATGCCTGTTTCGGCTACACAGACTTAAGGTGACCTAACAGACCTCACTATGCCACACCTTGTAAGAGACAGCGTCTCCCTCTTTTACGTCTCTGAAGGCCAGGGCCCTCCTATTCTTTTACTCCACGGTTGGGCTTGCGACAGTCAAGACTTCATCTTTCAGATCCCATTCTTCAAAGCGCTCGGGTACCAAGTCATCGCCTTCGACTCGTCTGACCGACCTCACCTAGTTCCAACACATGCTGAATAGCGGGCAAATACGTCATGGAATTTTCTGGTATTTTCCAAAGTCGATACTCCGGCTACGACACATTGTCGTCAGCTTTGGACGACTACCCTCTGGCCGACTGGTGATTTAGGTCGAGGCGTTCAACGATTACCACTTCACGAAGAGTAACTGTATCACGTAGCGTCCAGGCCCCAAGTACGACTAGTTTATCCCTTAGGAATCCCCTGATTGTCACAATTCATACAAATGGAAAAGGGCTTCCGGGAACAAGTTCAATTATAACAACTTCTGCAGTAACCTAAAGTTGCTACTCAACGTTTGGGACTTGACTGGACCTGTTCCTTATAGCCACCTTGAATCCACCCACGCACGCATCGAGCACCGTTTAGTACTCGGTGACGGTGTTGGTGATGTACACACCCTGCCAGGTAGATGCCGACTCGGACTCGTCGTGGGTGAACTTGAAAACGGAAATCTGGGGGAGACCCTTTTTGTTGACCTCACCGTCCTCGGCGGCGAAGACCCTCAGATTGTAGTTGTTGGTGCCGTATTCATGGACAGAGGCAGAGATGGACGTGCCAGGGCGGATTTTGTACTTGTTGCTCTTGTCATCGTCGTATGACAGAGCCCCGATATACCAGCCGCCGTTGCCAGTCTTGCAAACCTCTCGGAGATACTCAGTCTCCTTGTCGACGTAGTACACACGGATCTATACCAAGTTAGTTGGGCTTGAGCTTGAGCTATGGGGTGATTAACAACTCACCTCGACGCCTCTGTTGCCCTTCCAGGTAATGGCGGCAACTTGCTTGTTGTTGGGAGAGACCTTGATGTCAATCATCTGATCGTCCTCGTTCGCCTCCCAAGGGTCCTTGGCTCTCTTGATCTTTTTGACCGTGTAGCTGCCGGTGCCGTATGCATTAGGAGACTCGAGGTAGCTCAACTGGTAGTTTCCCTTTGGATCGGCGTAGACGTAGAACAAGAGACTCTTTTCGCCGGAGTCAATGCCAACAACGTCGTTGGGGAGTTCCTGAAGACGCATTAGCCACTTTCCCGACCAGTGCTGTGTTTACTTCGTCTACTCACGAAAGGCATATTGCTTGACTTTGAGGGTTTACCTGGAGGTGGATTTGCGCTGGTAGACTTGGAATGCTTTTTCACAGGCGAGCTGATAGGGCAAGAATGGGCTTCTGGAGACGGCGAGGCTTTGCGTAAAGGCAGAACCTGGTTGGGAAGAGAGGTGCTGATTTGGAATGAGAAGGAAGTGTGAGTGAAAGTTGTCGATGCGGTGACTGCTGAGGATGCTGTTGGGATGGGGGAAACGGTCAGATTTATAGTTGTGCCGTCTTCCAGAGTCGTCTTCAGAGTCATTGAAGATCTAGGGCTATCTTCGATGGGGACTTCCGAGTGCTGCAGCTCGTCGGGCATGATGCTCCGGCCTCTAAGAGAGGGGTGATGCAGCGCGGAGACGACAACAGCCAATGGAGTGGTGGTTAACAGGGGAGATTTGTTCACTATGTCGGGGCAAGGTATTTTTTTAGACGTGATGTATCAGGTGGCGCGAAGTCCTCAGCTCTCAAGATGCTAAGGTGGCTTTGAGAGCAACCGTTTTCGATTCGACTCTGAATACAGTCCAACCCCTGTACGATTCACCTTCGGATACTTCAGCATTCCAATGTAGGCCAATAGAAGGAAATATTGGTTGATGGGAATAGCCATCGGCTTTGTCACCAGTGGTGAATCATACAGGGGGTGTACTGTACTTTTGCGTCGAGTACAGACGCCATGTAGGCATATTGAGAGCTGAAATGAGGCAAGTTCTTCAGTGTGGATCCCATTTCGCCTATCTCTACTTCTTCAAGGTCTAGCTGATAAAAGAAAAGTAGCATTTACGAAGAAAATATGCACTATTGGCTATCGACGTGATCTCGGCGCATTCGTGAGAACCCAGCCTGTGTCTGAGGCGCGTGCGAAAAGCTAAGCGGAGTATGATCAGTGCCAGGTTTGCCGATGAGATCTCTGGAAATTGGTGGAGAAGCTGGGAGCGACTTGCGACGAACAGGGTCTTGAAAAAGGTACAACTCATGGGAGACTCCGCGCTTGCATAGGTAGTCTAGGAAGGAGTCACGTCTCCGATGCATGTCGGACTTTCAGCCAGCCATATAGACTGTTTGTGAGGCCATCCTACACGCACCTCAAATAAAACAGGAACCCAGGAATGTGCACAAGTTAGATAGCAGCTAGCCACAAACCTAGGATGTCTTAAATCTATCAATAAAACTTACCATTGTTCACGAGGAGAAGCTTGTGACCAGAGGTCTAGCCAGGGTTTGAGTGATGTACACCAGCTCGAGCCGATCAAGCCGTGCATTCCATATTTGTCTCTTTTGCAAGCATATCCGGCAAATGATTAATCTTTTCAAAATCAGGAGTAAGAGAATACAAATAGGTTGGTATGGCTAGGCTTGATCGGGCAGCATGGGAGCTTGGTACATGACAATGGTATCAGCCAAATCAGGTGAGAGATCAAATTACCAATCGAACAGGTGTCATGGAACCAATAGAACCTAAGTAACTAGTTGCTCTGAGACATTAAGGACATGAGAATTTGGACCTCGGGGTCAAAGCGCTCGTACTTATCACATATATTAAGAAATGAGGCTGGCTGACTACCTAACATCTCTTTAAAAGATCTTGATTCATCATTTACTAGGATGCGTTGCACAGACATCTAGCCGTCCAGCTGCATCAATAGCTGTAAATAACCAGTACGTCTACTGCAGAGCTCATAGCCTCGGGCGTTATGGCGTAATGTCTTCCCTGTCTCAGCACCGGCAATCCCTGGCAATCCCTGGCTGCATGCGTGAAAGATCGGGCCATGGCCCACATTTTAACTGTCCCTGGATGTCAGCCTGCCTCAATGCCGCCACGGACATCGGGACGTCACACTCGCTAGAGTTGCCTCAACGTCTGCATTCACCAGTAGCTCTCCAGAAACGCGAGGTAACCGTCTTTAGTGACGGTGGTCGACTATGGATCCTAGTCGATTGTGTTTCATCACGAGTGGGTACCTGGTTCATTATGCTTGACCCTGCTGCCGCTCTGCGTTACGAATCAGCCACGTTTTTGCTGCGCCTAGAATCAATCGTGAAGGTACTTTTACCCCTCACAATATTTCCGCAACTGGGCAAGCTCAGAATTGTTGGCTTGAAACGAAAAGCTGATGTAGATCAATTTGAGTCCAGGCAGACATCTAGACCTCCAGAGACAGGATCATCCGAGGTGATCATTGACCATGTAGCGGCGGAAAGAGACGACTGTAGATCTACCCATCAGAAGCAAGCCGATCAGCCTCAGCGGCTAAATCTTCTTAGACCCTCTTATGGCTTGACCTGGGAAGATACCTTAGCTGCAACTGGCGGCGACGGCGATTTTGAGCAACGTGATTCACCGGCTTACTACACTGACACGAGGGTTTAAAGTTCTTCTGCAGATATTGGCATAGACATTAGGTACACACGGGCCATGACTCCCTCCTTGGCAAAAGCCTCAATATCCTTTGCCCACCCTGTACTGACTGTGAACCAGTGATGGAGAAGTATTGTTTTTGTCTTCTTATCAGTCTTGTGATCACGGGCAGGGCACAAACTGCATTGACAGTTTTTATATTCTACTGTGATGCTTTGACAGCGGTCCCTTTCTCAAAGGATAGTCAGTTGTAGAAGTTTCCCCAATTGTATTAACTTCTGGGGTTAATAGCCGAGAGACATACCGCGTAGTACAACGCCTGTGAGCATGCTTGACGATATGCCTGTGCAATGCGATCCATGAGATACGTTGTAATTCAACATTCTAGGTCGCTAGATGGACGCCCGTCCGGATGGAAAGCGTAACGACTTGCGCGAGGCGAGATCTAACCGGCCGAACATACAATGTTCTGGAACTCGTTGTCGGTAGAAAGGGCTGGCTGACAATCCCAAAGTCTCTAGGTGATTTCCAATAACGCGTCAATAGTTGTTCAAGGACTCGTTTGTCGGCACTCCAAACACCAATCACAAATTGCGCGGCAGCCCGAGGCGAGCGGTGAAAGGTGGGGATCTGCAGCCTTCGTCCAGCTAGGTATCAATATTAATGCGCCATCTACGGGCCGAGGCGGGCTGTGCCGCGCGTAGGCCACACGGATAATTGGTCGAGGCGTTGCTAGCCAGGGCTTTCGGTGAACCTCTGTGATGAGTATGCGGGGTAGTGGTGTTTCAGCTAACCTAGAAAGTATAGTCTGTCTGTAGAATTGGATCATGAACCATCTCCGTGGCAAAAGTCTCGACACAAATCGATGACAGGTTATGATAGGTTATGACAGGTTATGACAGGTTATGACAGGTTCCAGAACCAGCCATCTATTGAACCCATCTAGCGGTATTCTGCATAGATCAACTTGGTTCAGCATAAGGCTGGCTGAAGAGGTAAACTTGGCGATCTTTAATGTCGAACAGGCACCAGACCGAAATCGCCGGGCTGGAACGTATGGACAGTTCCAAGTGAGACAATTCGCAGCACCCTGCAAGTATGCAACCTTTTTGATGTTTTACCATATAATCGTGGCGAGCTGAGCTGATGGTAATGGGGGAAAAAATAGATAAAATCCCGAGCGGCCTAGAACCAGGACACCAACGTTTGGCTGTCTGTGCGGATACCTGGGGTGGGACAGCCGCGTAATCTAGGTACTCAGCGCAAGGGTTAATTCTTAGACGTGTACGTCTAGCTAGCCACAAATTAAGCCATTTCCCGTCACTACCTGGGATGCTTTACCATGTTTGTTTGTGGGTTTTGTGTATGTAATTGTGTTCTCTGTGGTTGCTACGCGGGCCATCTCGTCCATCACGGGCCCATAAGTTGTACCTCACAGATTCTCCCCAAGCTTCTTTGAGCGTCAATCAACATGCGCCAGGGCACTCAACTTATTGATCGCCGGGTAGTGAACCACGGTCATCGCGCAGTATCTCCTGCGCCACCCGCGTGTACTTGGCCTCGTTCAGTCTAGACCACAGTCAACCGGGCAGGCCATCCGTCTCAGCCAGCCATCTGTAACATACACTAACTGTAAAAGAACGCAGTATGAGACAAAGCGATTAGCTTTTACTGATAGGCTAGCAAAGCACTATTGTCTGCAATTCACATTCACCATCTGGGCCCCCTGTCAAGCCACCACGCCACTATTTCCTTTTCTTATTCCCTGCGTTACGGATTGCCTTTCAACAATACCTTGATATTGAGGATAGCTGAGGCCCGCCATGACGCGTCTTAAGCCTTTTCACCTAGATGGGGGGAGGACGTTCAATAGTCTTAGTCTGAGCTTCACTCGGAGCTGTTAGTCTCTGTTTCGTTAGTCTGGTCTTCCGGTGCGTCAGGATCAAACCCTTGGCAGCTGAACCTTGGTAAAACCCAACATTCTGGCCAAGACACGATGAGCTGAAAATTGGCCACAAGCTAGAAGTGGTCTACCGTAGCACCGCCACTACGTCTCAGTCTCTTAACCCATCCCCAGCTTCTTCATTTCCTGCGCCGGTCACCTCTTATATCCTGCCCTCTCCCAATTCTTTCTTCATTGGACAAGCGAAGCTTCAGTCACAACCAATTCCTCGTCTTCCTCCTCTTTCATCCGTTCTTGTCATTGGTTCTCCAGCTGTTCACCATGTTGGTATCGCGAGCCGCTATCATCGCGACGTTCTGTCTAGCGAATCTAGCGACTGCCGCAGACCGTAAGCTTTTCTTTCGCTTCAATACCCCCATTCTAAGCATGCATGGATCACCCATTTACTGAACAATTGTAGCATCTGCATCCACTAGAGTCATTGAGTCGACCTCGATCACGACCAGGAGGCCCAGCGAACAGCCCTCCACACACCCTGACGACAAGATAATGGGGCCATGCGGTGGCCATATCAAAGAATGCGGAGTTCACGACAAGGCCAAGATTGTATACATACCTAAAAGTACCGTAACAATCACCAACGAGATTGTTTCGACTTCAATAACGGTATGTTCCCGTAGCAAAGCCCATTTGTTCCCCAAGGCAGACATACTAAGGCAGAAATTAGACACTTCCACCGCAAATCAATTACATCACCGAAGTAAAGGTGGAAATAGTCAACAACGTAACTCAAGGTCTGTACATGGTACCCCAGTCAGAGACTGTGTATACTAGAAGAAGTAACTGACATGTAATGGTATCAAGGTCACTGCCGTGAAACCGTCTGGCTTGACGGTGACGCTGTCACCGTCAAAGTCGATGTTAAAATCGTGGATATCGAGGAAATCATTCCCATTTCCAACGTAACTGTCTATACCACCACCACCGTCACTGCTAATGCAACTGAACAATGTTTCGTTGAAAACACCAAGACCCTCCAATCTGGCCCCCCTTCGTCACGACAGCCGGCTGAGCGCTCAGCTACGACGAGCCTCAGCCCTTCTGCAAATGCAGATGCGGCAGTGGGCACTGACGAATCCAGAGAGGGTTCTTATCCTGCGAGCTTTGGGTCAGAGGGTGTTGAAAACCTACTTGTTAGACAAGATGAGTTAGACTTGGAAAGTGATTAAGCTAGGAGTATTACTATAGTTCAGAGTCATCTCATCTAGACACAGAGACTTGGGACCGAAGCGTCCGGTTGACTTGCCGCTATGCAAGTCGATGTAAACCGAAGTTATTGTTGCAACATTTGTGAATTAGATAGAAGCACGTGACCTTGGGCACACTCTGGTCTAACCTTGTGTTCACCTCCTCTCATACAACCACGTGGCACGAAAGGGGGCGTAGCTCCAAGTTTTCAACTTACTAGGCTATTCGTATAATGGATTTCTTACCCTCCTAACTACACGCTCATTATATTCTAGAAGAAAGCACTCGGAATGCCTCATGAGAATTCGTTCCGTAGGGTAAGAGCGGCCGAGCCGAGGGTGAGTAACCGGTGAGGCGTGCCTAAGCAGCGACCCCAAAAGCGGCGACAAGTCTGCGTCGAGATTCGCATGTCATAAAAAAGGACCCCCATGATCCAACTTTACATCGTTGCAGAAGAAATGGAGTTTCTAGTTATGTTACCCGTCAACTGACACGGCCGTAACTAGAAAGTTTCCTCTGTTGTTGGCTCCCTTCGACAACCAATAAACCACCTAGAAGGCCTCCAGAATGGAGGTAGGAAGAGCTCCACTAGCATCGACATGAAGCAGAGTTCATGCAATAAAATGAAAGTCTTCAAAGCGTACCTAACCAGCTCTAGTATGTAGATTAGGATGATGAGGAAGGTTGAGGCGGCTGTAGTCCCGAGAGACAGTCGCTGTCGGTGGTTTTGATAATCCATGGTTCCTACGGGATTCTCGGCTTATTCAAAATCGTGGCAGCTCAAGCTCAGGCTGATTTCTACTGAAGGCTATCGCAATTTTTCAATGGGTGTTAGTAGATGTGGACTCTTGTGTCTTGCACATAGCCTCTTATAGTCCGCCAGATTTTATGTACAATGGCCATGTTCATTTATGTTCACCTGATCCAATATGTTCATTCGAATCAATCCCAGCTTTGTCCTTCAGCCCTTTGTAAGTATTTTGTCACCAGATGATCAGAGAACAACGCAAGCTGCCGAACTGCACAAACATTCTGTTTACTCATAATCAGGAGTAGAGAAACAGCTAACAGCACGCGCAAATATCAAAGGATCACGGTTTAAAGTGTGGGCTCGATACTGCAGGTTAGATTGGTGAAGGCGGACTAGCACTGGAGGATTAGATGGGAGATCAACGGCATCACTTGCTTCCCCTAAGTTCAATTAGACATACGATGTATTCAAGTTTGATTCAACGTTTTTCTTTTTCCGGCCCGGGTATTTTTATCACTCCGTGTCGGTACAAGTACATCTAACCATGCCGCAGGGCACGCTGTAAATCGCAGTCAGTGCCCAGTATCTCTTTTCAGAGATTAATTCACCTCGAACTACGTATTCATCGCATTTTTCTATATCATAGAGCCATGAAGAGCCTCTCCAGTAGACAATTTGGCCCCGCAATGCCGACATGGGTAAGCCGGTCTGTTGGTTGGCATCCTCCGGATAAACGGCACTCGAATGCTAATGAGTCAAATCTCACCTCCCAGGTCACAAATTTCAACGTCAACACCATCATACGAAACTAAATCAAGACTCATCGTATCCAAAGATGTCCAATATTCAGCATGAATCTCACAATCGAGCCCCACGACTCCAGACCAGATTTCGATCCAGCTGTGATGCATGTGGACAGGCAAAGGTGCGCCACGTTTCTCCCAGTCGTGCAGAGTGGCTGAATAACCTCAAATCTTCCAGATCAAATGCGACCGTGGCCGCCCTGCTTGTTCTCGCTGCATCGCTCAAGGCCTGGGCTGCGTGTATGGAGTCTCTAGGAAAGCTGGCAAGCCTCCACGACGGAGGCTTGCCAGCCCTCTGCAAGTCCGGTCGAGCCCCGGTATGCCGGAGATTCCAGAGATTGGCCTCACTTGCAATGACCAGGGCGATCTTGATATGATGCTCGGCCTGGCTGAGTCAAACTTGATCCTCGATGACCCCTTTTCTACCTCTCACGACATCTTCCAGCCTTGGCTTTCGTTAAATAACCTTGAAAGCCCAGCAATACTGGAACCCGCCGAAAGATCAACGGCGACGACACCGCCCATTACAGCGGCACGCCAATTTTGTACCCAGGAGTCCAAAGACATCATGCGTCGGCTATATTGCGCCAACCCTTCGGCTCCTATTTCTGATGGAGTGCCAGCACGTACATTAGACCTCGATTCAGTTCTGACACGTAATCGCGACGTGGTAGGGCGCTTGGGGCTGCTTCTCAAATGCCCCTGTGCGCGATTACCACACACAGCCATGCTATACGCTTCTATAGTATCTAGAGTCCTACTATGGTACAAACAAGCTATCTCGAACACGAACGACACAGGAATGTCATACCCACCAACTCCCGGAGCACCGGGCTCAACCACGTCATCAACCAGCGGCGACTCACTTAGTAGCTCAGGCGCGGGAGCCACTAGTGATAAGATGGGAGTATCCGTTCTCCGAACAGCTCTCACCGTGGGGACTTTCCAGAGCCATGATCATGACTTGCAGGCGGCCTTGACGAACACTCTGATTCAGAGCGAGCTGAAGAGAGTGGGAAGCCTCATTACCGTGTTCCTTTCTCTGGGGACAGAGACATACGACCCAGGGGCCGCTTGTCCCGCTGCTGAGGAACTGGGGACGAACTTGGCAGATAAAAACTTGGTGGCCAGCCTTGGCGCCTGGCTTCAGACTGAGTATAGGGGCATAGTGGCCAAGGCGAGGTCAAGCTCCACCGCAGTAGAGTAGGAACGTAGCTCCTCCTTAATTGCGGCATTTTAAAACGAGTTTGAGAACCATATGTTGCGTCTCTCACCAATTCACAATGAGAATTCGCGTTCAACGCGACGTATTTGCTCCAGTGCGTTGGCCTGACTCCTGCCTCAACAAGGTCAATGGACAGTTTGTTACCTATCGCTGAATATGGTGACAGGTCAAAATGCACCATTTGATTACAGATTATTGAGATTCAAGGCATCATACATTATCTTCAATGTCTAATTATACAAGCGAAGTCTCTGCTCCATGTGTCTTGCTGGGGCTTGGCAGGTATCCTCGGTACCTCTCATGATAACCCTCAACATGGCCAGTGTCCAAGTCAGCGGCACATCCACTAGGAGGACGCTTTCTCAATGTCGCTTGTTGAAGGCGAAGCGGAATTCGCCTTGGGTTTAGTCTCTATCGAGCCATGCCCACCCTTCTTAACACTCTTCCACTCCAACAAGGCGGCGGGAAGAGCACTGAGACACGCCATGATCAGGGCAATCTGAAAGGTCTTTCGGAGAGCCTGATTATAAGCGTCAACCACTTGATCGATGTGCTCAGCGGGTATGACGTTGCGGAAGCCCGTGGCACCAGCGTTGATGACGTCCATGCCACTCACACCAGAGATTCCAAGATCATTGATGTAGTGTAGCAACCTCTCGTTGAGCACGTTATTCGCGGCGCTGATCAACACGGCACCGCCCAAGCCTTGGAATAGCATCGATACCGAGATTCCAATAGGAATGTCGCGAGGGGATAACACGATCTGGGCCGCAACTTGGGGAAGTTGGAAGCCACAGCCAGATCCGAAGCCAAAGAGGATCTGGTAGCCAATCCACTTGCCCGCGCTCGTGTTAGATCCAAGAGTAGTCAAGAGGCCGGCACCGATGGGGGCAATGATTACCGCCAGGTAGATGAAGGGGACGTAGTATCCGATCTTGCTTGTTCCGAAGCCCGCGAAGAGGATGCCAATGACATTGGGGAGAATGAGAGGGATCGTGTCGATACCTGACTTGAGAGCGGTTGCCCCTTTGACAGCCTGAAAGTAGATGAAGGGGACGTAGTATCCGATCTTGCTTGTTCCGAAGCCCGCGAAGAGGATGCCAATGACATTGGGGAGAATGAGAGGGATCGTGTCGATACCTGACTTGAGAGCGGTTGCCCCTTTGACAGCCTGAAAGTAGATGGGTATGAAGTAGCTGAGAAGAAAGAAGGTACCCGCGAGGCAAAATGTGAACAAACTCGAAGCAAAGATTGTTCGTTGTTTGGCAATGCGAGGTGGGACTATTGTTGTTTGTTAGTTGAACGTTGATTGAGAAGTTCCAAGAATCTTACCAGTCCCTGCCTCACCTAGCCAGATCTGACTGCAGACAAACGCAATGAGCGTGACACCGAAGACCACAAACAAGGCAATAATTTGACCACTGTTCCAGGCGTAAGTGGTGCCTCCCCACTGTCCTCTGTTAGCGTTGATCTCCGAGTGAACAAAGAGGACAATGCGTACCTGGAGAGTGAACAAAAGACAAATTATACTCGGAACAAACAGGACGAATCCAATGGGGTCAAGATTCCACAGGAGTCCCAAGATTCTTTGTTCCTTGAGGGGATTGGGCTTCGAGGGCAGGCGTAAAGAGAAGACGATGAAAGCGGCCGAGACTGCGCCAAGAGGGAGGTTGATGTAGAAGCACCAGCGCCAGGATACCTTGTCAGTGAATGCTCCACCTACCAGTGGTCCCACGACAGAAGCAATTCCGAATATTCCACCGTAAAGACTCTGGTACGTGGCTCGCTTCTCCATGGGTGTGATGTTGGCGATGATGATGAGGCCGCCGCTGGAGATGCCAGCACACCCAACACCAGCGATCGTGCGCTATGGGGCCTATATTAGCGTCCAACACAATCAAGACATGAAATAAGAGAGGAAGCACTCACACCAACAATAAGCATTTCCGAGGACTGGGCAGCTGCGCAGAGAATCGAGCCAATCTCAAAGATGAACAAGGCAGCAAGAAAGGTCCATTTGAGACTAAAGAAACGGAAGCATTTCCCAAAAGGCAGTTGAAAGGCTTTCATATGTCAGTTTAGGTCAAAAAGTCTCACATTGGTTGCATACCACATTTCGTCAGGAGATAAGACGACCCGTACCAACCCACATCTTGTAGTGCGTGGAACTGGTCAGTGATTCGTGGAATGGCCGTGGCAATGATGGTGCTGTCCAGCGCAACGCAAAAGAGAGAGATGAAGAGAGCGAACAGGGTCATTCCAAAAGCGAAGCCTGTCGGATACGAAGGAGCTGGCGGTGACTGAGCCGCCCGAGGCTTTGGCATAGCGCTTTGTTGAGCCATGGTTGGAGCTAAAAGTTGTGTATTCAAGCGTCTTATTGAGCGGAGTTTGAAGTGAGAAGATGATTTCACATTCCAAAACGATTCCTTTGCGGTCTATATAGTACCTCTGTGACATCTCTTGTTGGTTCTTACACCGGAGGTGAAGCCATTCGGATACCGAAGATTCACCCCTATTGGTCAGATGAAATGTCCCGGACCCGCAATCGAGAGCTGCCTCACCCAGTCATCAAGGCAAAGAAGTGACTAACATCAGCATTGCGAAGTCATAAAACTCTTTAGTTCGGTCCGAGAAGTGCTAATTGGGATCCGGGGCCGTGATTTGTGATACCCATAAGATGTAAGTTCGATCGCTAGCTAGCTGGTGTAGCTTCATGTCAATTTATTAGTTCATCGCTCATCTCAACCTGAAAGAGTTAATAAGGGATGACCTCGTAAGAAGCTTGCTTAGGCTAATTACAGTCCTATCGCCTTCTATCAATAACACCCCTTTCACTCAATCCCATGCAAACCAGCTCTTAGTGTCCTTAGCTTATAGGCCGTTCCAAATCCCAAACCGGCTTGATCCGCCGCCAGAAACCAGACCACTTCAATAGGCCACAGAAGTTCCAATAATACTACGGCTATGGCAGATCATCAGAAGCGGGAATATTTGTGCATTACGGAGTAAAAGGCCGATGGAAGTGTCATCAATGCCATGTCTATCATGACCTAGAATCGCAGTGAACTATCTCGTCCCCACCTCGTCAGTAACATGTCCCACCTATTCCTAGCTGGCTAGGAGTTGCTTTGAGCAAGGGTGCCAATTAGTTCACCGGGTCAAATAGTGTTTACTTTTCCAAAACAACCTTTTTGTCTCGTCGATAAAGTGATGAGGTCATTGTGAGATCACACGGTGCATGCAGGTGATAGCATCAAGCAAAGAGATGAGATGCCAAAACGGTTTTAAGCAGCTGTAGTTGAAGCATATATAAAGGCCCTGCCCTAAAAAGCTGGACTAAAAATGTACAGATAGAAGCGAAAAGTAATCCAAATCAAGAGAATCAGCACTTGGAGCGGGGAACACAGGTTCCGGCCTTTTGCAATGTTAGCAGTCGTCAGTTAAATACAATAGAATCACTCACGGCGTTCAGAACCGTTCCCTTCTTGCAGAAGCATCCAGGGACGCAGAGGGTGATGCAGACACGGTCAGGGGACGAGGTGCAGGTCTCGGGGCATGCGGAACCGCAGTCACTCCACACGCGATCGGCCTTGAAGAAACATTAGATCGAGGTCTCAGATAAATGATCAAGAAACACTTACGGGGCACTTCTGAGCCGGCTTGGGAGCAGGGCTGGCCAGGATGCCAGTAGCAAAGAGGGCGACGAGAGAGATGGAGAACTTCATTTTGAAGAGTTGATGTGAAGTGATTCAAGTGTGATCTGTTGGTGCTGAACTGTGTGGAACTTGTTGTGCAAAGAATGGATCTGCAGACGGCCAACACCGTCTTTTATAAAAATTCTAAGTTATCAAAGCTTGCAGGGTAACCGTGTCAAAAATCACATTCCTCCTCTTGAGCCGTTGTGAGGACGGCCGATTTACTCCCGCAAACGGCCCGCCACAACTAAGATTATCTCCACTCTCTGCATATCATCACATCAGCCCGCAATACGAGCTGACCCTTGGCCATGGATGAATCAACGTTCACGATAGGCATTCCGTCTCTGGGCGGAAGATGGGGAGTACCGAATTACCACCTGCGGAGCGCGGGTGCCGACCAGCAAGGCGGAACGTTTGGCCCGATTGGGCAGTGTAAGCTGACTTTTTGCGGGCAAATGCTTGATAGGATTATTTCCCAAGAGGTTGAAAGCCCAGGTTACATCCCGGCAGTCGCTGTAAGCCACAGGAGAGAAGTCATCGAGAAGCTGAAAAAGTGCTCTGTTCTCCTGATCATATGCATAAGCGTGTGGGCCTCGATGTCTAGCAATTTCAGGGCGGCACCAATGATGACGGCGAGGCGTGTCTCACATTAACTCAATGCCGTCTCAGCTGCTCATATTCCACTCAGACTGCACGGCTGTTGGCCTGATCGTCACACGGGATTCGACAAGGGAGGGACTAATGTGCCGTTGGTGGTTTGCATCGCCACCATGTCCAAGTCCTGAATGATCTGAGCCTCTGCATATCTTGGCAGTTGTCAGTTGCACAACTATCAGTAGATTGGAGACCGAAAGCAACCGTCCCAAGCCGATAGTTGGATGTAGAAGTCGGATTGGCATGTTTAATACTGAGCTGACTTCACGAGCCAAAGAGAAGATGACAACATCCCGCATAGCTTGGACTTGAATGAGACCATGTGACCTATCGTGTCTGAGCAGGCCAAGTCAGTTCGATTATGAGTTTTTCAGCCACAACTCTCATGTTGCATTGGCTGAATGAAACGTGGCCAGGGATCGACAAAAAATTTCTTCACCTGGCAGGGCACAGACTTGGTCTGCAGCTTGAGAATGGCTTCTCATTGGATATCTTTTTACCTCAAATACCTCGTCTTGGCACATTTTGAAGTGAGGCGGAGCAAGTCTTGTCAGTCTGGGCAGCTACCAACATTGAACTTTTGATGCTGAGAAGAACTTTTGAGTAGAGATTCTTGACTGGCCGCGCGGCGCTTTACGTACAAAATACCTGATTCGTGCATCAACATAACTAACACGTGAAAGCTGCATAGACACGGACCTGCTCATTCACAGATCAAGGCTTTGGGATACCAACAATGGTGCTTCAGGCCCATCAATCCACCTCGGTGAGTCCGAATGTCTCAGCCAAGATGTTTGCTTTCTGTCTTTGATCTGGAAACCTCCAATTTCCACCTAGGTAATGACAAAGGTCCTTCGTATCGGGATCGCATATAGCATCAAGTGTGGCAATTTCGAGACAAGAGTTCGTTGCCAAGTCCTATCCCTAGTCGTCATGATGCAACTTCAAGTCCATGCGGCTAGGCAGGATTCAGAAGGTGTAAAAATCTCATGATCATTCCTCGAACAAATTTTTCAGTGAAAATTTTGCAGAACTTGTCGAGGAATTGATGGTGCAATGCTGTATTAAGCTCTGATAAATGGCAGAGGGAGACAGTCGTCATGGTTATCAACGGATGATGAACAAGCACCAGGAACATAGCGAGGAGTTACTGCTACTACATGCGAAATGGAGGGCACGCGATACAGTCCCGAAGCGATCTTAGTACCCCCAGAACCGATATTATTGTGTCTTTAATGCAGCATATCCATGATGACAGATAAAATTAGGCCACTTGTGCAATCAACGTCCTTTTGGCATGGGCCAACGGAATTCAAACTAACCCGGGAGGAATTGTTCTTTTACCCATCCTCGAACAGATGGCAGCACGGCTGCTCGCCTAAGCTCACTAGCAACACTGTGGAACCAGATGACAAATCGGCGGTTTTCTATGAACTTGACAATTCGTGTTGCTGAAAAAGAGCTCGGGCGATAGTTATCGAATTGGGCTATTTTGGTGGCCTGGCTCCCCTCCTCCTTGTCTACTCAGTGAATGATGCAAGTTGTGAATTCCAAATAATCATTATTTGGAATCTATGGGTGAGATTGACTAGCAGGGATATAATAGCACCACTCGCCAGCCAGAGTTGGGTACCTTGGCTTACAAATATGGTCACCGAGGCATCACGGGGTTTGTTCAAAGCCCGATGACAGAAGCCGAGTCGGCGATCAAATGGTGGTTTACAACTAGATAATGCTTTCCATGCCGACTTGAGTTCTCTGCATGCCCTCACTCTTTGAAAAGAGAAACTTCATAATTCAACATTTATTGACCTATCTGTTCCCTCAGCCGGCAGCAACTACTCTCGATCATGTCTTTTACCAGTTCGACTGCCAAGCCACCTCTCGTCGAGGTTGACAGCCTCGAGATACATGTTCTAGTGAATGACGAGATTGACCAAATCTCACCGAGCCCAAATCCTCGAGTCCAACACACACAGTCTTTTGCTGGTGTTCCTCTTAGCCGAGTCCCTGACCCTGCGGCTCGTGGTGGGGCTAACTGGGAGATGCCAATGCGAAATATCTGCTGTGGCGCCCACGGCCTCTCCCTGTTTATCGTAAGTGTGGCGTTACTTGGTCTTGAAGTGTAGAAACTGATGTCTTCGTTAGACGGCAACGAAAGACGGCCAAAGCCGCACGCTCCTCTTTGATGCTGGGCCGGAGGAAGACGTGTTCGAGAAGAATGCGAAACGATTGAGACTCCAGATGAGTGACGTGGAAGTGATTGCACTCTCTCACTGGCACCGAGATCATTCTGGTGGTTTACTTTCCGCCATTCGACTCATCAATGACGGCAAAGCCGAAGGCGCTTCTGTGACCGTCGCCCTACCCCCGGACCGGCCAGACTACCGAGGTGTCATGTTTGAAGAGCCTATCTCTCTCGAGCCGGATCCCACCCTCGAGGATATTCAAGGCGTCGGAGGAAAGGTGAAAGTGATGAGCCATGCTGGTACTGTTCTAGACGGCATGTTCCTGGTCTCTGGTGATATTCCTCGGCGAACATCTTATGAAGGCGGGATTCCCGGTGGTATCAGATACGATTCAGCAACCGAGAAGTGGACTTCAGACGAGTTGATCATGGAGGAGCGTTTTGTCATGTGCAAACTCAAAGGTGTGTTTCCAACTTTCAAGCCGTCAAGTTTTGATCGCTAATAATGCATACACACAGGTAAGGGTCTGGTCATTTTCACAGGCTGCAGTCATGCTGGCCTAATCAACATCGCCAAGAACGCCAGAGAGCTTGATGAGAGTCCTATTTATTCCATCGTCGGCGGTTATCACCTGGCGGATGCGTCTGCCGAGAAGATGGACCACAGTATCAAGGATCTGAAGGACCTTGAACCAGCTCTGCTCATGCCAGGGCATTGTACGGGGTGGAGGTTCAAGGGACTCATTGAGAAGGAAATGCCTGGGCAAATGGCTCCTATTTTCGGTGGCACCAAGTACACCCTCTAGTTAAGTGACATGCATTGAAGGGTGGGTTCTCCAACTGAGTGGTTGCTCGTTAGAAAGGCGGCTACAGGGAGGTAAAAAAGACAATGAGGTAACCACGGCAAGTCCCAGATGACGTGTGCCATAGACTCGAGATGAAGTGAATAGTAAACACGATGAAACGCAAAAAAAAAGTCTAGGACATGTTGTTGTTCTTGAATGTTGCTGTGCCTCCACCAGGGATCGAACCTGGGACCTTGTCATTACTAGTGACACGCTCTACCACTGAGCCATAGAGGCTGGCTTCTGATTGGTTGACATGGCATGAGTGGAAATGGCCTTGTGTGGGAGCCAGTCGGACATTCAGACACCACATGTCGAATTCTGATGAGAGTGAAGACAGGCTACAGAAAGAGGCAGGAACACTTAGCCCTGTCCACTTCGGTGAACCCATCGATTGGCCTCTATCTAGCATTGAATTGGTACCCGTCGCCCAATACATAGCGAGAACGCGTGGCTCCTGTAGAACACACCACTCGGTCCTAGACCTCTTTGTCTGGCGGTATGGGCTAGTTATCAGGCTACTGAGAACGCGAAATGTTTCATGTTGCAGTCTGGAGTCCATAAAGCACATCGTCTGGAACTGATGAGAGCCACCAGGAATGCAAGGGAGGGACATGTAGATCACCAGGTTTGTGATCATGCGTTATAAAGGTCTTAGACTGTGTAAGTAACTGCATTATCTACCAGTGTGCCTAAGTTTCTGCTTTCATTTACGGGCAGTACAGAACGAAGCGCACGACAAGACCATGTCTCGAAGTCCAACTCCAGGCCTCAAGATGGGGCAGCGACACCGCTATCCAGAACTTTCAGATCTCAGTTGATCAAAGTTCAACTCCTAATAGTCCAAAAGGAAGACCCTCGTGAATTCATCCTATTCCTTCCGAAACTAGGCCAGATGCGCTGTCTTGGGCCTAACTCAAGGGGCTACGGGCTAAGGAGTGCAGTAAGCAGGGCCGGCGATACACGTAGAGATGGTCAGAACGAACCTGGGGAGTTTGGCTAATGCATCAACAGAATTCTTAATATCTTGGGCTTTGGGTTTCAAGGAGATTTCACTAAATGTCTTAGGGCTATTTGCTGAGCCTTTTCTCTGTGGTCAGCAGAAGGATCGCCAGTTCTCACCACCTCGAGATCGACTCTCTCAAAATAATCCGTTGATGTTGTGTTTTCCGCATCATTCACCAGTGCCAAAGGATAGAAACATGCACATGTATGCCCGCCGCTTGGAGGACATTCAACCGACATCCTCTTAGTTCTTTTTTCGACCAGCTGTCTTTACCCAAGTTGTATGAAGTCTTGACTCGAAAAAATGCTGACAAGTCCCCAACTAGACATCTAAACTTGGCACACCAAAGACGGAACTCGGTTGTTTCACATATGATGCAGATGGGCGAGGATCCCAAGGTGATGCAAAACTAGGAACGCACGTGGCTATCAGCCAAGACTGCAGTGCGCCATGGCAATCTCCAACTTCTCCAACTTATCAGCACCTCAGTCTTGGCCTGGTACTTCACCCTGGCTGCTTCGGCAATGCATCTCGCCAAGGAGGCTTGGCGATGCAGCCTCATATATCCTGGCACCAACGACAGCCAAGAAAGATATGTGCTCGCTGGATCTATGCGACAGGGAAACAATGCAAGTTATTATTTAAGCCTCTCGCCTAGCATTTCATCGTTCGGTTTGTACTGCGAGAAGGCCGCGAAGGGTTGGCCACAGTGGTGTCATGTGGATGGGACGATGCGCGGCTGTTAGTTGCGGTAACAGCAGCATGCTGGTCGGATCCGGCTTCTCACTCTAAGCTTGACGATTATGACTTTCTTTTGACCTACAGCAGAACCACAACAGCTGATACACTGATCTGACGGAGCTTAGTAGGAAATAGAATATGTGAGCGTGCAAAAGTAGCTTGGGCGCTAGATGTTCAGTTACAGGGCTTAACAAGCGCGATGCTGAGCAACCCCAGTATCAAACTACAAGCTGTCTATACTCCCACTTGTGTCTAGGTAGGTGTTTATAGCTTGATATAAATATGCTGTAGTTTCTCTTCTCAGGGATTTCAGTGCGGTCGAGAAGGTTCTACCTTGGTGTTTTGGAGTCCTCTCGGTGCACTTCACGCAGATATATAGTTCACGGGCCGTTCTAATTACTAACTTGCGAGTTAGTAAATAGTCAGTCTTGACCTCTTACGGTTAACCGTCTCTGTATCTCTCTCAATAGCGCAAACTCTTCTCGACAACTCCTCTTTTTGTGGTGCTCACAACGCCATTTCAAATTCAAGCCAAGCGTCGTCTTTCCCCGCGTTGAGAACCCTTTCGGCATCACGATTGTTGATCTGGGGAAGCCTATTTGATGGGCCAAGTTTGTCTATTACGTACAACATCTCAGGATCTGTGAAAAATGGAGACGGTTTCGCGTGCTCGCCAAGCTTCAGTTCTTGCTACGTAACAGATCCAAAGAAATCGTGGAGAGGAGGAGGAGAACGCGAGTCCACTGAAAAAAAACTGGACGCGACGCGGAGAAAATGTCCACTGAAAAAGGTCGTGACTCACGACAACGCGCTCAGGCCGTTGAGAGCCCTCGTGAGTGGGAATGCATCCAGGGCTTTGGAACGCAGGCATTTACTCGCGAGGGAAGCCTTGTTATGCTTACTGTCGAGTATGGAGAAGATGTTACGTACGAATCTGATGGAATCTTGAGGATGGAATGCGACATGGAGATTCTTGTACTTTTCTTCGTGAGCATGCCCTGACAGTTGGAAAGCGATCGTCCAAGTTTGCTCGACTGGTCTAGATGACAAAGAATCATGATTCTCTTACTCTTGCGCCCGCTCAGGGGCACATGTTGGGTTTTGCTTACGCCTTGTCGTGACACATTGTTACCCTGACCAACTGGAGGTTCGGGCGGTCGCCGGTGGAGGTGGAACAGCGATGATCCCTCGTAATATTTCGGCCTTTTTTTTGTGTCTTTTTTGTGTCTTTTTCGTGCGAGTTTTGGTGTCGCAAACAACGTTTCAATTATTCCTGTTAAACACAACATCAAAATTAAGTTTCCGACCCTTTCCTCGCTTCAAAATAGCGTCTTTCTTCACAAAATCCATTCCAAACCATCACGTGTAGGGTAAGACGTCCCCGGCCAACTCGGCTTGCGGCTCATGACCAGGGGCATGAAACGGGAGGCCCGAAGACGCTAGACCCCAAACGAGAAGGTGTTTATGCATCTTCCCATGCTTGGCGATCTCTCTGCTCATCCGTGGATCCCTCGCCTTCGAGAAAAACCACTCGCTTTTCCATCACAAGCCGCAGAAGCGTCAATGCTCAACAATCTCGGCTGCCTCTCTCACGGGCCGACCGGTTCTGGAAGGTCGACCGGCTTCGGAGGCCCGGGTTTAACTATTCGTAATGGAAACTTGGTTCCGCCTGGTTTCGGGTGGAGAGGGTTCCTCTCTATCCTAGACGGGTCCGTCGCGGAAGTGGTCGCTACTCGTTGGACCAATGTGGAGAGCTCCTGAATTGTGGAATCTTTAACGTCACGGAATCCAGTATAATGTCATTCACCTTAGTGTTTTGTTACGTACGAAATACCTTTTGATCTCTCGTCTTGGCCTCTCTCGCGTGATTAATGTCTTGAATCCTGGACACGTTCTCGCCCCTTTGTCCTACTCCACGGGTCTCCTCTCTACCCCATTCGCCCTCATCTTGGCTTTCTCAACCCCATGGGGACCAGAGAAGGTGATGGGGCCAGACGTTTCTCCACTCCCTATCGCGCCTGGTTAACCAACAACAGACAAGACTCGTTCCATCCTCCGCTCTCACGCTGCGCCCCGACAGGCCCAATCCCCTGGATCCCGTCACCGTTCGCTCTATCGTAATGCTCGTCATGAACTAACACGTAATAATTGGGCCCCGCGGGTGCTTCGAGACTGATACCTGACCCGGTCAATGCTCATCGCTCTCGAGGTATAAGTTGATCTTGGCCAGACACATTATTCTCAGCTTCACTCCATCATTCTTCACTCAACACCTTCTCCGCCTCTTGGCACATCTTTACTCCTGTCGATCCTTTCCAGACTTGCCTCTTCCATCCATCACAATGTCGACCTCCTCTGAGAAGGACGTGAAGCGCGACTTCGGCCAAGATCCCGAATTCCAGGCCCCCCAATCACACGCCGACGAGACCATTGCCCACGATGCCGTCTTTGGAGAAATCACTGACAAGGGCCCCAATTACCGCAACGTGAGCGCGCCTATTCCCGAAGGCGAGACGCTAGAATTTTTCCAGAAGGCGAGCTAACGCTTGACTGCAGGTCGGTTGGATCGGTACCGTCGCTCTCATGATGAAGACCCAGATCGGACTTGGTGTCTTGTCTATCCCCGCTGTCTTTCACTCTCTGGGTCTTGTCCCTGGCCTGGTTGCCCTTATCGCTATTGCTATCATCACCACCTGGTCTGGATATGTCGTCGGTACCTTCAAGCTTCGTCACCCTGAGGTCTACGGCATTGATGATGCTGGTGCTCTTATGTTCGGCCGCATGGGTCGCGAAGTCTTTGGCATTGCCTTCTGCCTTTGTACGCCACAGCCTGACATTCAATGACTCCCAACTGGTCGCTAACTTATCTAGTCTGGATCTTTGTCGCCGGCTCTGGTATGCTTGGTATCTCGATCGCCCTCAACGCCGTCTCCACGCACGGCGCATGCACTGCCATTTTCGTGGCCGTCGCCGCCATCATCGGCTTCGGTCTTGCCAGCATCCAAACTCTGGGCCGCATCAGCTGGCTCGCCTGGGTTGGACTCGTCTGCCTTCTCACTGCCATCTTCACTGTCACCATCGCCGTCGGTGTTCAAGACCGTCCCGCCGATGCCCCCCAGGACGGCACCTGGAAGTCGGACTACAAGATCGTCAACAAGGGAACTCCCTTCACTGAGGCCATCTCTGCTGTCTCGTCGCTCATCTTTGCCTATGC